ATATGATTCTAATAACTTGTGAGTGAAAGCAAACAAGAATATTTAATGATGTATTAAATACACTACTTCTGCCACATCCAATGCCGATAAGGCCTTTCGCGTAATACCAAGGCCTATCAAGCGGTTGAAGCGTTATTTATACCGTCAATTTCATGAACACAACTGTAATGGATTGAGCTATATTAATTAACCGGATATACCAAAACATTTCTTCCCTAAGAACGTATTAGGGCCAATGAAAATCCAATTAGACGGCTCTGACAGTGTATCTTTAGAGGAGCTTGACATCTGAGGTTTAATTCTATATTACATGTTACCGTTTAGGTGTAGAGACAAGTAGCAGGACAATACAAATAGCAAAACAAAAAGGGATGCTCATGAAAATATAAATTAATCTTATATATACATATGTTTCCAACTGTTGTGTCTGTCCGAGTGTACGTCTCTCTCCCGTTTACGGCTTCATTTTCAGATCCAATGTCCATGAATGTAGTGCATAGCATTTATTGTTGTCATCACCACTTAGCTTCATTTGGTCGATGTAAAACACTTCACAAACAGTTCATTGGAAATTTTGACACTTTTCACAAGATTATCTTATTACGTCTACATTTGACATAAAAACACTATAAATACTCAGTCAATACTTTGATCGAGTTAATGCTGTAACATCTTGTATTGGGTGATTTTATATAAATTTTATATAAGTAAGGAATTCATAATTGTTCTGATAACGTCTGGGATTACTAATGTAAAGTGTTTCTTGGCTATTTATAATAATAATAATGTGATGTCATCTGTTTGGTACTCTTGAATAAATTCTATAAAAGTGGGTTTGTCTGCTGTTTAGTGAGTGTTATTGTTGATTGTTTGTTTGGTTTGCATTTAGTTGTTGTTCCGTAATTATTTTCTCATTTTTCTATGTTTCTTTGTTTTGTTTTATTATATATGCTTTTTATTTGGTCAGCATATGTGTTTGCTTGAGTGGTATGTGTGGTTGAGGTTGAGGTTGTGGACATTGATAGTGGTGTTGGTAGTCATGGTGTTTTCTTAACTATCTTTTGTGTTTCATTTGTTTCATGAGGTGGTACGTTTGTTTGTGTGGGTTGAATATTGTGATTTTATATTAAATATCCTTAGTTTGATGTTCTGATATTTAGGGCAACTTTTGTAGTTTGCCATGTGTTTTTCTGGCAATTACAGCATGTGGGTGTTTCGTTTTTGTTGTTGTTCATTAATCTGATGTTCTCCACCACAGTTTACACATCCTTGGAGAAATGTACAAGCAGCTGCTACGTGTCCATAACGTTGGCAGTTATAACATTAGTTTTGACTATTCAGGATTTTTTAACTTTCAACTCGAAATATCTGATACAAGAGCATGATACCATTTGATTTCGCGGCCGCTTCCTGCGCTGCTTTTGAAAAGCTGCGCACACAGGCAAAGCTCATCATTCACTTTTGAAATGACGGGAGAACAGGAATGAATAATGTTGATGCCAAATTTTATTTCGCAAGCAGGATATTATACACTAACTTGTTAGGGACTAATCACATTCACATTTCAAAATGTGACGTAAGTTAAATAATACAAATTTAGATTTACCGTATGTTATTGTTGAGAAGCTGTTAGCATGACTGAAATGCTCAACAATTAATTTTCACGGTGGGCGGTATAAGTAGCTCAGACTAAGATGGATCAGGTTTCACGAACGATGTATTGACAGACACATGCACCTAATTAGATTGTAAACATTTAATATACGATTTTGTGAGATTAGAATGAACTTAATAATACTGAACAGGGTTACTCTATAAGAATTTTAAAGGTGGTAATAGCTTTATAAGAAGCTGTCATGTTTTGGAGGCAACTTTAAACAAGATAAAATCATTTAGACTAATTTCTCATATAAAACTTTCAAAAGTTTAGGGTTCAGTATCTTGTCCGCAAAACATAATGAAACTTACAAAATGTCATTTTGTTGATGAAAAGCCTTCCTATGGCAAGAATTCATTCACTTTTACAACTAGATTTGTACCCTAAGAATAATTTGCATGACATGTATTATATTTTGTGCACGAGTAAACTAAAGCAGCCAACGTCGTTGAATGGTTTTGTTTGTTTGTTTGTAGTTAGGCATAAAGTTGCACAATGGGCTATCTGTGCTCAGCCCACCACGGGTATCGAAAACCAATTTCTAGCCTTGTAAGTTCGCAGACATACCGCTGTGCCACTGAAACCAATATAAATCTCTCTGTCACGACTACACTGAAAAGTTTTAACAGTTCAGCCACTTAGTAAGTAAATCGTTTGGATTCTACAATGTTCATATACATAAACTTTTAACGAGATTTTACTTTTTGCTAGGACTAAAGATATCAGTTTAGTCAAAAACTAATTAAATCTTCAACATCTAAGGCTATACTTACTACTTTCTCGTTTCACTAGTGTACAGGAGCTGTACGCAGCCAGAGTAAACGAATCAAGAGAGGGTAACGGGTTAAGTAGAGGATTTACATTATTTGTTTTTTTATGACTAACTGATAAATGTCAGTCTTCAAAAGCGTTGTTGGAGAGTCTGCACCAGAAGTGGGTTATGAAGAAGGAAGCTTTAATAAAATTTAATATAACGAAATAATTTTATGTTGTGGATAACTATTTCAAAATACTTTCTATTATTATTATTATTTTATTTATTTATGAAATTTCAAGAGACTTGCCAAGTTTAATCTGTGCTGTTAGTGTTACTGGAAAGACTGCACCAGAAGTGGGCCATGAAGAAGTGAGCTTTAATTAAGTTTAATTAAAGAACGAAAAAAAACTAATCGTGGCAGGGCTTTAGTTTGAAGAAAGATTGGGGTGCTCGGGAACATACAGTTCCCCTTCAACCCCGCGCGTATTCGGTTGAGCTTCGTGTTTCTTAATTTATTTGACGTGTTGAGTCGTTAGTGGTTCTAGAGAGTGGAGTCGGGAAGCCGTGCAGGCAGCCGGAAAGGATCGAAGCAGCCACATGAAGTTCGAGGACAGCTGACGGGGCAGAGAGAAGGACCAAGACCTTCACCAAGCAACGAGTTTCCTTATTGTCTTTTAAAATACATGATTATGTTTTAAATTTTCCGAACTTAGCCTTATACGTAGAATTTTTGATTAAATAACGAATTCTAGGACTTCGAAAACATGTCACGAGGTCGCCATCTTGCTCCAGCTGCGTTACGTCTGTCTCTGCATAACTTGGATGGTGATTTAGCTGTCTACAAAATTAATTTGAGGCTGCTTCTCACATTCAAAGCTTTTTGTATTTTGAGTCATCTGGTTTCTGTTTTATCATCCTTGCCCCAGGAAGAGGGGCGTGGGTATAGCAATGGGGTCCATGTGTGTGTGTGTGTCTCTCTCTCTCTCTCTGTGTTTTCTCGCGCGTATATCAAAAACCAATGATTCGGATCGTTGATCATTCTGGATCTGAGAAAAATTTTCTGAGTTTCTGAAGGTGAAATTTGATGTTATCCAATATATACGCATGCAATCTCGAAAAGGAGTGGGGAGGCGAGGGTATTCAATCACCCTGATTGCTCCTGTTTTTATATTTAGTTTGTTTGTTATAGAGCAAAGTAACATTAAGCTATTTGCAGTATCCACTGCAGAGAATCGAACCCTGGATTTTAGATAAACAATATATATTACAGTTGGAACCTATTGTATTTAAAACTTGGTTATAAATATAACCTTCTCATGTCAATTGAAACACTATATTAAGCAAACAAGTAAACAAATAAAGAAAAACTTTTGAAAAAAGAAGTCAACGTAGGGATGGCAAACATCGATCATTCAAAAACAACGCAAACAAGAAATAGGGATGCCACAGAAGTTATCAAAAATTTTATAACTTTATATACATTAACCACCCTGTTTTAATGACAAACGCAGCTGTATGTGAATACGGTAGCTACATTTTCAAAGTTAATTACAAATGTAAATCATTGCTTTTAATTTATAAATGGACATGACACTCCATCTCTAGTGTTTTTGTTCCAACTTACTTATGATGTATTTTGAGCATATGTTGATGTATTTTAGGCTTACAGTTTGAGATACTGAAACATATTTTGAGCTGACTTTAAAGATCCAATCTGTAGATAAATTCCCCCTTTTTATGTATTTGTCAATATTTTCAAGTTTCATCCACCGCCAATTCTTGGACTAGTCTTTTACTAACCAATAGTGTGAGTAATCCTAAATTCAGAAACATTTGAAGAGATTAGGCTTGTTTAGCAAAATTACTAAGTATCAAAGCAGAACTATCTGATGTAGAGATTCCTATACAATACCTTTTGGCCAATGTAGTTTTTGTATTTAAGAAATTTAATATTATATATAAAGTCTAGCTAATAACTAAAATACATATTTGATTAATTAAACTTAATATTGTAACTTATTATAAATTTAGTATATGGCTAGGACAGTAGAACAACCTGTATGTACATGATCTTGCTACATCTGGTCAAGTTCTGTTTGATTTAATTTTTTAGCGTATTAAGGTGATTTTTGTTAAAATAAGTCTGCCAGACCCGAGACTGTAGGAGGTATGAAAAGAACAAAGTTGACCTAAATAAAATCTGGGAAAAGTCAGAGATAACAGACATTATTGTTTCATTACGTCTTGTCTTAATTATAGTAATAGATCTAACGAAAAAAAAAAGTAACTACGATTAATATAGCTAAGTTAACGAAAATGTAATGTTGTTGAAACAACTAATAAACAATTAATTTGAAATAATAACTGATTTCAGATACTGGCCTTTTATTACCGTATTGACTAGATCAACGGGAAATAGTTTTATGAACTTAGAACGCCCAATTTCTTTAGATGGAGAAAGATAAACGAAAAAGGTTTTGCAGATAATATTCTAAGAAATAAAATGATATCAGTTTGTATAGTCACTCAAGTTTAATTTACTTCTCTTTATTGTATAATGTAATTCAATAAAATTACAATCACTCGTAAATTTACACAGACGTTTTATTTCACTGTAAGTTCTAATACTATTGATTTGCTACATTTAATAGACAAATGTTAATAGTATGTGATAATTGAGTTATTTTTCACATAGTGCAAAATAACATTTTATCATTTTTTTGCAAAGATTACAGTTTTTTCATTACGTAAAATAACGCAAACTCCTTTTTATAAAACTCCTCTACACGAACCGGATCTTGCACAGCTTCCCACTTCCCACTGTCCTTTAACTCGGTTATTACACTGTTGAATGTTTCCTTCTCTTCTCCTTCTTTGGGGTTGACCGTTAACCAACAGACTAAGCCTCCTATTAAGAAAGTATTGCAAAGCTAAAACTTATCAAATTGATATTTGTAGAACATTACCCTAAATATGTTTAAAGAATAGCGGATGTATGTATGATTAATTTTTTCGTGTTTGAAGTAATACGAAAACATTTCTAATGCGCACAAAAAGAAACAGACTTGAGTAGACTCATGATGTTTTAACGCAAGAACATAAGTTTAGGATAAAAACACACTTTAAGACAGGTAAATAATAGTAAGACTACGATTATGAAAAGAGTAAATTGTATTTCATGTATATCTCATAAGAGGGACTAATACGGCTGTGATGATACACTGGTTCTTAAATTTAAGCTATATTAGCAAATTTTACGTGTAAAGAAGGAGGCAAACAAAGAAATTAATAATTAACAACAGATATAGGTACTAAGCCTACAATATACCGCATTAAAAACCACTATTCACGATCTGAAGTGATTGGTTTGGTTTATTTTGAAATTCGTACCAAGATACACGAGGGCTATCTGTGCTAGCCGTCCCTAATTTAACAGTGATAGATTACAGGGAAGGCAGCTAGTCAACATCACCCACCGCTAAATGTCGGGCTACACTTTTATTAACGAAAAGTAGAATTGACCGTCACATTATAACGCTCCGACGACTGAAAGGTCGAGCATATTCGATGACGGGAATTCGAACCCGCAATCTCAGACTGCGAATCGCACGCCTTAACTACCAGGCCATGTCAGGCCTTAAATAATTGGTGGGAAAGAAGTTGTTTTTATTAGTATAATACTAGAACTAACTAGCGCTACGTCAGATCAATATGACTTAGGCTTAGCTTAGTTGTGGCCCCCCAGTGGCACAGCGGTATGTCTGCGGACTTACTATAAATTATGGCTCTTACGCCTCTGTATTCATGATACAAAAATGTTATATTCTAAAGCTCTTTTGTCAAAAAATTCTGATAGTGAAATAAATTCATATGCTAATCAATTCCTAAAACTTTCAAAGATAATCGTTAAAGAGGTAGTGTTGTATGTGTCAACATACTGAATAAGAATTATCCATAGTTAGTATTAAAACTGTAACAATATGTTCATAAGTAGGACAATAAATCAGATTCTGTGTATTATGTTTACCGTGCTTCACGACATTCATAAGTACTTTACATCATCATTGAAGAACGTTTTATTCCTTCTATTGAAGGAATGTGAAATACCTCTTGAATGATAGAAATAATATGTATATTATCACTAATGCCTTTCTGTGTGTATAGAATGTCTAATGGAAAACATACCTTGTTTTACCATGGCTAGAATGTCATGAAAAGCACTGTATGGAATATGTCCTGGACCAATTCCTCCACATGAAACAGCTAAGTCGTAAGTACCTACAGTGTCATGAAATGGTAATTAAAAATAATTATAAAATCTATGCATCTACAATTTACTCAGAAACAAGTCTAATCGGCATGATTTCAACCAGAAAAACAAAATCAGGAAGAAATGATTAAATCGATACAAATATAAATAAACATTACGTCATTATTTTCAGGTATTAACGATATGGATTACAAATTATGACATAATACTTGAAGAGATTATCGTACAAAAATAATATCAAGTTACAGTTTGGTGATACTTGTGGGATTTCATTCCTTAGTCGTAAGTGTAGTAGTTAATTTAGGTTTTGGTGTGCTCGAAGCATGGTAGATAATTGCCAGTCATAGAAACGAATGGGATAGATGTTTGGAATAAACTAATTTTATGTTTTATTATATTTAGTTCTTTGAAATTATGTTTTATTATAATAATTCTTGAGTAATTTTTTGTCAGATTGATTTAAAATTAGAAGTGTCTCTATAATATGGTAACAAGGACTGTGTTTTTGGGTTAGTCTTATTCGTCTAATTATGTCAGAGTTTATTAGACATGCTTATCCTTCTGAAAACAAGTCTACAATGAGTGGTTTTACGTTCTGGCTAAGACAGGTTACATTTCACGCGTCCTCTGCTCCTTAATCTCCAGAATAGGAGTAGATTAGTGCACTATTCTGGAGTGTTGCTTCTAGTTGGTATCATTTACTCAGATTATAATATAAACGAATACAATTCCTGGAGGAGCTAAATATGCAGTTTTAAAGGATTATTTATCAGGAGTTTATTTATTTATTTGCTGCAGACACCAACACAATTCCCGATGTTCAGGGAAGAGCTGTGGAAAGCTACAACAAATATTATAAGGTTTTATGATGTTTTTGTCTGCCATCCTGGCTATTAGAATTGATATCGTGCAACAGAAATTTGAAATGGCCACATATTTCACAAAACAGTGTTAAAACCTCAGGTTAAAAGCGAGACATCCAGTTTTATTTTCCCACAGCTCCGAAACACATAAGAAGAAAGCTTCTACTTTATGTAACTTTAAATAAGAATCCCTAAATATTATTTATTAATGTCAAACTAACTGATTGTAACTTCAACGAATGTGATTATTTAACTACCCCGAGTTTTGGTTTTGCATTATATCACTTTCATTTTCAAGCGTAAAAGCTTAACCAGAGAAGTTAACACACAATGTCGTGTATCCATTTATTACTAAGGATGATTGACAGGTTTGTTTTTTTCTTATTCTAGTAGAATTGTTGTGTCTTTCATTGATTTGTTGAGCAACTTGAGAACGCATACATTAGGAGTTCGTTTTGAACATAGATATAGACGCTACGATTTATAAAAGCAGTAAATGACTAGATCATATAATATATGTAAAATATGAATACATAATTTATGTAAACATCGGAAATAAATAAGCAGTAAATTCGAACAACAACAAAAAATATAGGCAGGTCATGAATTTTATAAGTGTAAAATAAACGTAATACAAATTAGAAATAGCGTCAGTAGTAGATTTAACAAACTTTAAATAGAAAAAGAAGCTGCCTGAAAACTTTTACTTTAAATCTTAGTTTTTAATAATGAACTTAGTGTATATTTTACCTCAGTTACTCCTCTTTATAGAACACTTAGAACTTCTTAAGCATATAAATGTAGAAGAACAGATTTTTAAAGCAAAGCTACACATGGGCTATCTGCGTATATCCGTCCCTAATTATAATAGATTGGAAGGAAGGCTACTAAGTAACGCATTTACAGCTTACTCTTGAGTCTTTCATGTCTCAGCGAATAGTGGGATTTAACTGACACTCGTATAGCGGGACGCAAACCATGGGCCTTCGGATTCAGAATAGAGCAGGCTAATCAAGGCAGGCCAAAGTTTGTATGAAGATGATTTACTAGTTAACTGAACTGGTTTATTGGAACCACGTTATAACGTTGTAGTGTAAATGAAAAGTTAATTCTAGATGTTTGTTTAACTCTTGGTTTAGAATGTAACTGTCTCTATTGTACAATAAGACTTGTTTATAATTATTATTTGTGTTATTTTTATTAGCTAATGTCCTTATACATCTTCTTTATATACTACAGAGGTGAGGAAGACTGAATTTAAATAAGTATGTTATGCATGTGTTTAAGCTCTTCATACGACATTACAAACTGTTATTCGCAGGTTAAATAGAATATCAGTAGCAATATCACATACAACCTTTAGTTTCTATTTGTCAGGCTTTGTTGGAGATATAATATCAGTATCTTTGTCACTGACAACCTTTAGTTGTTAGGCATTGCTGGAGATAGGACATCAGTAATCGTATTCCAGACGATCCTTACCACACCGCCACTTCCAATATTATCCACGTTTCATCTAGAAACACTAAAACCTTCAAATAACGAGGTGTGTCAACACGTAAAAAACAGCAAAGAAAGTATCATAAATAAACGTATTACAGTTGTATCAGACTTTGGCGTGGAATTTGAAAACATGTTACAGTTGTATCAGACATTGGCGTAGAATTTGAAAACATGTTACACTTGTATCAGACTGTGGCGTAGTATTTGAAAACATACTACAGTTGTATCATACTTTGGTGTAGAATCTGAATATTCTTAGAATATAATACGTAAATGATTTTGGATTCCACAACTACATAAAACATTACATAAAATTGCAGGTTTATGATTAGTTCTACAAATGCTACAACTGAGCTGTTGTCAATTCAATTATATTCAAAGTTCTGAAGTACATTACAAAGCAGTTAAACAAAAATTGTAACATAAACGTTGAATACCGTATGTTAAGATGATTTTTAATATGCAAATAAGCAAGACACGTGAGAACTGTAGCCTACATAAAGTCACAGTGAACTTGTATTTATCAGAACTACATTTTGACATTGTTACGACTCAAAATATGAGCACCCAAAAAAAGGAATATGAATCTACTTTGGGCACCAGGACCATCCATAAAGAAACCTGCAACAAGTTTACCCTAGCCATGGTTAGCAAAATGTGGCCTCTTGTGATAGGTGAGAGTTTATGAACACAAAGGTCAGTGGCAAAAGCCGTAAATTGCTCCAGGCGACAGTAAGCAACATATTTAAGAAGGATCTACGTCTGGAAACGAAGTCAACGGGGTATGGGTTGACTGACATGATACTTTAGGTTCAACAACTGCATATATCAATCAGCTGATAGAAGTTTTCATGCTATTCCATACGAAGACATACTGATCAAGTCTCCTATGGATTTTTGTGCGATCGGATTGTTGAAATGGGCACTGGAGAATATACATTCTCGTACGTTAGCTAGATTAGGGAAAGCAAGCAGGGAGAAGTAGCGCACTTTGGACATGATAGCCGGAGCCTTTTGCAATTAAAAATAAGCTGTAGGATTAATGTAAAGATGCGCGGACGTCAAACAGAGCATAATTGGGTGTGATGATATGAACTGTAACGACGAAATCGGTTTTCCGAAATTGTTGAAATATAACGTACTCATCTTCTGTATTATCAAAAAAAGAACTGATATTCATAATTATCGTTAATCTATTGAATGTATAATGATATTTTATCGTTAATCTATTGAATGTATAATGATATTGAGATATAACAATAGAGACTTTTGAGTTTAGGTATACTTAAAATAGTGTTTCTTTTGATAAGATTAAAGAAGAATCTTTAATCAGCAGTTTTATGATATTTTTAAGAACAATGTTAAATTAATGCTTTGGGTAAGTCAATACAGAATCATTTAAAACCCTACAATTTTTACTTGACAACGTATTTGTAGAATACTTCCAACATATATTTCAACAAATGTGGGAAATATCCATAGGTGGTAACTTTGGTCCAAAAGTTGCACATTTACATTTATTCGAACTTCGGGTTTCGTTCATAATAAAACTTAATAGGAAAGCCTATAACAAAGCTTTGAACATCAATCGTGTTTGTAGACACATTGGCAATATTGGGTTACCTAATTATCAAGGTTAATTAACGCTGCCATACACATTTATCCACTGACTTTGGAAAATATCTGTTCCATTAAAGCAATGAATAGTGCCTGGATTTATATATTAGCATTGTTAATCAGTCATTACAGTTCAAAATTCTCAATACAACGTTATGTCAATAAAAAATGTTTCGTTTCAAATTAAAAATCAGTCAAATAAGATGTTATGCAATATTTAGTACTCACAACATAATAGAAACAATATATATATTTTTCAAAACGACAATATAGCGAGGGCAGAGGCAATAAACTCAATTTTCCACACAAGTTTTTTCCTATCGCATTTCCGTCTGGTCCATTTCTATTCCCTTAAGGAAATTATGGTGCACTATTAACGCGTGAGCCAAATAGTAAATTATGGTCTAAGAATTAGTCTTCAATATTTCCATGCTACAGCATGAGATTCGTTGTGTATTTGAGAAAACTGTTAACAGGAGAAAATGGCGTCCTTATTGTCAAAGGAACATAAATGTTGCTTACGTCTGGAATTATGGTTAGTATAGGTACATGTTTTTATACAAGTGTTCCCAGATTTGGTTTACAAAATAAGCTCATCATATTTTATGTACCATTAACTAAAAGTTAGAATAAATCGTGTGTTCCTTTAGCACCTTAACATTATTAAGTATTTAAACCGAAAAACATTTTCTCAGCAGTGAAGGTGAAATTATGGATTCGAAAATCCATTTTCTCAATCCATGGTTTGTAAACAGTGAAGCTCTGAATAAACTATGCTTATTCGTTTTAGGTCTGTTAGACCAGAAATTCACGTGTGTAAATGTTCAGGTTTTCCTAATTCTTGAGGGAAGTCTTCTTGTTCTTAGATAAAATAGTTTCATTGTTATGTCCAACTTTCTAGCACTCACCTTCAGCAGGGTAATTTCATTGTCCACAAGCCATGTGAGTAAGGCATATGTGCAACAGTAGATTCGTCTGCTTTGTTGGTTTATTATATATTGATGTTAATTTATTGATAGAGATAAATATATATTAACATTTCTTATTCAAAACGTTATGAGCCATATATTACCTAAATAGTTTAAAAAATGTAGTGAGGACATACCGTTAGTTATTGGTGATTTGTCGTCACAACCGAAAAGGAACTGAAATAAATTCCTGTAGATATTTTTCTTTCTTGCAACTTCCAGCATACCTTTAGTTCCATCTAAAGCATCAATGCAGGTGTAACCTAAGGCTTTAAGCTGAAATTTGTAAAATTGTTTATTTTTCAGCATAAATTACATAGTACTATATATATATATATAGTAAAGCACAACAAAACCATGAAGAACAAACTAACTGAAAGAAAGTTAAAAACCTAATTCTCATAAAAGAGCACAGTGACGATATCAAACATTAATAAACTGTTACATTGGCTGCTGGTATTGATGTCAGTTATCAATACTTGTTACATCGGCTGGTATCGATATTAGCCATTAATAACTGCTACGTTGGCTGGTGTCGATATTATACATTAATAAGTGTTATATCGGATTGTATCAATATCAAACATTGTCTAGTATGCTACTTTGTATAAAACATAGTAGGGCTTAAAGTAAATAATTCAAGTCCAACAATGCTAAGTTGTGTTTGTATTACTATACACTTATGTCATTATCTTAAAGTGTTTGTTTTACACTTTAGTTCCATATAGTTTGTCCTACATGTAAGAGCCATTAAACTGTATATAAACAGCCAGTGCACATTAAATAACACGCTTTTATATACAAACGACCATAGTCCACGCACGTGGTGAATATCGATGGGACAACAATACAATCGTTTAAATGTTTAAAACTTTCATACATAGTCGTTCCCAATTTTGACCTGATAGACTAGAGGGAATGCAGCTAGTTAACAGCCCCTACTGCCAAATCTTGGGCTACATTTGCCTGACAAACTAGTGAGGTTTGACGGTCACTCTTATAGCGACACATAACCCAAAGTACGGAGCACGTTTTTAATTAAATTTTTGTTTGCTCAAGAAGATGTGAACCATGAACCCTGAGACTTGTAGTGCGGCTAATCTAACCACAACCCAACCCTCAGCTGTATAAATAAAAATAAAAAAAACTTGCAAAAGTGATAGGCAATAGAAAATATATATACATATCTATATATGTATACATGCACAAACACAACCATGTACGTAGAAAACTGTAGATAATTATAAATACCAAGTAAAAAATGTTAAGACTTGCAAACTCTGTACGAACAGAACTTTTATGTAAATTTTCAAAATACCCCCTCAATATATCTTTATTTGTGCAACTATAAGCTCTCTTGAATATTCTAGGAACGATTGTTTGTTGTTTGTGCACAAGCTATTCTTATTTTCAAGTGACGACTAGCGGAAAGGTAGTTAGGCAACATCATACACGCCGCCAGCTCTTGGGTTAACCTTTATCAACGAGCAGTAGTATTGATCATCACATTATGACGTCCCCAGGCGGGGAGAAAGCGATAATGTCCTGCGATGGATTTCGACCCCGTGGCCCTCAGATTACGAATCGAGCGCCCTAACCTATGGTCCATGACATTCTGCTTTATTATAGAGTAATATTATTCCGTATAATAAATTCACCTTGCTAATATTGTAGACTCGACTTTCCAAAAATGTTAAATTCTGCTGTTCTAAACAAATATGAGAATTCATAACGGGATTCCAGATAAACAATTATCAGTTTCTAATAATATTATATCGCTAACTTCAATCAACTATATTTTTAAACACAGAATTAATTTCCTCGGTATAATCCAGTATTTCGCACGTAGTTACGACAATGTAGAAAGAAAACTTCTCGTCTGAATGTGACTGTTTCAAAACATTTCAATCAGTACCAATAATTAAACCAAACACAGTCATTCGAAATTGTAAAACATATATGAAAACCATATTGTACTATACAGAAACTTGGATGGTAGAATTATCGATTATTGAAGTATATTTTACAATATGATATCGGAACTGAGAGTTCAGAGGTATATACATATTTAGGTCATAACCTGAGAAAGGTGTATGATGTCTAAGAAACACTTCATATTAAAAATTTTCTCAGCCCAAATTGCAATACGTTTTGTGACTTACGTTAGCCCTGGGTATAATGAACCAATTTTTTATTATAGTAAACAATGATTATTATTATATATAAATATTATATATAAATATATCGTTCAAACAGATCAAATTTGGTGTGCTTAAGTTGCTGAAAGTAGGCGTTCAATATCCTCAACATTTTAAGTACATCGTCGCTGGATACCTTTCTAGTTAATTATAAGTTAATCATCTTTACCTACTAATTTTTATACTCAATAAATAAACAGAATACAATAATTATTTTAGAAGTTGATGAATAACACTTTGGTTCTCCAAAAAAATATCTGAACTTAACTACGGTTAGGCATCAGCTTTTTAAAAATTAATTTCGCTTTAGCTTATCTTCAAAGATTAAATCTGAAAATAAATTCGTTACTTGTCTTACTGATGCATGCAAATGTTAATTCGAGAAATTCTATTGAAAACCTCACCTCCTCGCCCAAAGCACCTGTTCCAGCTGCTATATCTATGACTTCAACATTTTTTGGTACATTCAACTTTGCAAATTCTTTAGCCATTAACTTTGGTCCATTATAATTGAAGAGGGATACTTCCTAAAAAACACCAGTAAAATTAACGATTAATAAATGTTTATGGGTATTTAAAGGTAGTTGCTAAATGGTTTGTTCACCAGAGATAAATGAAAAGTCAATACTAAATCTAAATCTTCATTGAAACTAAAAGTATCTAAAACAAATGAAGTATAATAAGTGTATATTTTCACTCATGTGTAATAAGTGTATATTTTCACTCATGTGTAATAAGTGTATATTTTCACTCATGTGTAATAAGTGTATATTTTCACTCATGTGTAATAAGTGTATATTTTCACTTATGTGTAATAAGTGTATATTTTCATTCATGTGTAATAAGTGTATGTTTTCACTCATGTGTAATAAGTGTATATTTTCACTTATGTGTAATAAGTGTATATTTTCATTCATGTGTAATAAGTGTATATTTTCACTCATGTGTAATAAGTGTATATTTTTACTTATGTGTAATAAGTGTATATTTTCATTCATGTGTAATAAGTGTATGTTTTCACTCATGTGTAATAAGTGTATATTTTCACTCATGTGTAATAAGTGTATATTTTCACTCATGTGTATTAGTTTTCTTACCAAATTCTTCTTATCCGTTTACTAAAAGCAAGTATATTCATTTTTGAAAATAAAAAGAAACGAAAAGAAGACTGATTTTGTTTCGATTTGTATATCACTCTACATTATACTGACTCTTCATCGTGATAGTTAAGTTTTACTCTGAGCACTCTCACTAAACTGCAGATTGTATGACTTGTACTCTCGCTAAACAGTATATTCTGTGCCTTGCACTCTATCTTGGCAGTATGTTTTGTGTCATGCATTTTTGCTAATCAGTATATTGGTGTATCATTCTAAGCACTGTTATCTCCCACAACTTTTTATTCATTCAGTCTACTGATCTGACAGGCATGTTTGTTTGTTTGTACAAAAAGAAGAAACTTCTTTCTTAGCTCAGCAACCTAATTGCGGACGTAGCAATCAGCAGATACACCTCAGGGTTACATTGTAAAAACAATGTAAACGATAGTGAATACAGTATTAGCAACAATAAAACACTGTCCAATACATCTATATGCCAAGAAACAACAACAATTTTTTGATCAATCACATAAAAATAAGTTATCCAAAATACTGGTCGATCACGACAAGAAAGCAAAATTATAATAAATAAAAGTAAATATCAGTCGCCATCAAATGTAAACTTATACCAGTTATAAGTTAGACTAAATAAACAGGAAACATTTAAGTTACCACAAATTTAGAATCTTTATAAACTTACGAAAAGAAGAATAGTTGAAACAAGCATTACAAAAAAAAAAAAAAAACATTGTGTAAAGTAGTTGTATTAACTTATGAAACAGATGACAGTCAGATGCCTGTAGGCCTATTACTGTATGTGAGGTATTATGTACTGTACACCTGTTGCTGTTTGCTGGTTATGTGAGATTTGGTGTATTACACCTGTTACTGTATGTAAGGTATAATGTACTTGTACACCTATTGCTGTGTTCTGGCACATCTGAGAAACCAAATAAGAATTGTTCTTGTGATTATCGATCCAATATCTAATCAACAATTTATTATCTTATTCTCACCAACCTTGATCAATGGATGTAACTGCTGGAAATTCCCGTTTTTGTAGGTGATCAAAGTAAAAACTACTTATTTTGCCTCAGGATTCATTGTAATTTACTATTTGTCACCCATGATTTATTCATAATGATCATTCATTAACTTGAAATTGTCTGGATAAAAAATTAATTAAGAAAGAAGACTTGATGGACACACATCTCGTGCTAATGAGTTCAATAAGTTGTGCTTCATTTAATTTCTTTATATGTGATGTTTTATTATCAGTTTTGGATGAAGGCTTTAAACGTTTTGTACCTCAAGAGAGAGGGGGAGTTGATCATGTTTAATGAATTAGCAAGTAGATTTGATACAATTAGTTGTACATTTCATGATTGCATCTGTTTCTTTCGGGTTAATCTGCGCAGAGTAACAGATCGTGGATGCAAAGTGTCATCAGTTCACACAAAACACTTTCTGTTGTGTCTTCGTAGTAATCCATTTTCAACAAATTTAGCATACGGGTAAAAACTGGTAAGATATTTTTTACAGTTGAAGTAGCATAGTAAGTGTAATATTACCGTATGTATTGTCAATCCCCACGTGTTTAAGGCTTCGTAATAGTAAGTGTCGTTTTGTAAACTGGCTGACAGTCGAGCAAGGGATTGATAAAGGTAACAGAACAAGTCTATTACACTTGTTAGAGTTGTGTATTATATTATATGAAACTTTAACCTTGGAAATATCTTCGGAATGGTGGGTATTACGTACTATATCTTTATTGTGGAAACGTGGGGGGGGGGGCTTACACAAGGTTCTCATTACAACGTCTACAAGAAAATACTCTTGAGGTTGTTTTTGTGAAATTCATGTATTCCACACATTTATATACCGACGTATATATATAATATCTACGATGTGCCAGCACAATCTTCTTAAACATGTTTTCACACAGCTGAGATTTTATCTTCTACACATAGAATCAACGTTATTTATCATATATATGGTGTGTATATATATGATTATTCTAATTTAAAGTTTATTATTACTACTTATAGCTATGTGGATAACAGACTCAGACGTCGTTAAGTTTTTGTAATGATTCGTTAATCTGTGAACTATTTTACCAGTGTTTTTATTTTTCTTAGATAATCTGGTGACAGAAATAATCCTCATCATACTACATGCTGTAGCCCGTTATTTAGTGAAACGTATTATAATTCTTTAGGTTTATGTCGCGCGGCCAATGTACAGATCCGTAATAAATAATTTTTATTGAAGGAAATTGTTTTATTTCACATTATGGTTTGTTAGCATTTAGAATATAACCTAATTTAAGGTACAAGTTACCATAGCAATGCTTTAAGTATATAACTCACTTAGTGAATGTTCGAACTTCTGATCGTGGGAGTTTTTTCAGCTGTTTGGCGTTTTTTGTTTTTGAGATAGAGAATTCTGTTTTAATTTAGTTTATATTTAGAATATATTATTCCTTTTATCGTTTAGTTTATCTATGAATTTTTAGTTTCGTTTAAAATACTAACTCACCTTCGAGATAATCACGTATATTTTGCGTATTTTACATGTATTATGAAACTGACGTCACTTTCCGCTAGCGGTGAATTACAGATATAATTAATGTTGCACAAAAGTGAAATAAAAGCCCTACATTCAGCTGTGACAAGTTACCTCGTCAGATATAGCTGAACAGTTTTATAGCTGAGCATTACTGGATGTTGTTAGTGATTTTGTAGTTTAAGTGCGGAATATTGTTATTTTGGAATTAGTTTTTTTTCACTTGTCTTGTTCTTTTTATTGTGATACCTTTATTTATTTGTTGATTGAAATGTGTATTACTCTTGATATTTACATTGTAATTTTGTATTGTTCATAAATGTTAATTTCAAGTCGTGGCACATATTTCTTTACTACGTTTTGATAAAGTCACACTTTAGATTTCTGTGGTTCTCAAAGTATCAGAAATTCGTTTTTTGGCTCAACCCTAGTTGTTACTTTAGACCGTTACAAGTTTGCTGGGATCCTTTCGTTTGATTCTTGTTTTCTGTTTTCCACGTATGTCTTCAATACAAATATATTTAATTTGGTTGTATTGTACTACTGTAATATTTACCAGAAATATTAGGTTTAAAGATAAATGTGATCTAGTGTTTTCTGTTTGTTTAACCTTTACTCTAGAATACATATATCTACTTACCGACCTTCAGCAGCATACGATAAGATATACAGATATAGTAAATAATAATCATTTTTTTCGGTGGCAGCAACATCTCCCATGTACGCTTTTTACTTCTCTATTGGTCTGTGTTACTTTACCGTGTAATTGACAGACATGAAACTCGAGAACAAATGCCTTGTTACTTCTGTGTCGGTATGTGTTACTTTACAGTATAACCGCTAACATTATCAAACGAGTTATTATATAAGCATAGCTAAGTTATCTAAACCCACCAACACAGAAGAACAAAATGCCAGAGTAAGAAGTGTGACTGAATCATTAGTTCTGTGTTTATAAGCTTCCTAATAAAGAATAACACGTGATTTATCAGTATTGTTATTTTCAACTTGAACTACATCTCATGCGACACATGGTCTAAGCGGTCAAATCACAGACCCCTAAGGTTCAAGCATGACCAATTCCTAGTTTAAAGGTACTGGCCAGAGGAAGAATAACCAGTCAGCAATACCTTCCATTTCTTAACCGTATAGCGAGATTGACAGTCACAGTTATAACACCCCAGCAGCTGAACACAATTAACAGCATGTTGCAGATCTAACCTAGGACTTTCCTTGTGTGTTACGTCAAATGAATAGTAAAGGTATTAGGTTTGTCATAGTCTGAACTACTCACCTCGTCATACGTATTTGCCCATGATTCATAAAATTCTTTAACTTCCTCGGGTTGTTTTTCGCGAAGACTTTCTTCCAAAAATGCATCTAGGTCTTTAATCCGTCTCGACTTGTCTGTATCAGACATAGTTTTTACTTAGGTCCTAACTGAAAGAGAAATAAACCGAATTTTGTTAATCTGAAAATTACTATAATTGTAATATTGTAATGTTAATTAATATTAACTTCTATTTAGACCAAACTATCTACTCAGAAGAAAAAAAACAATTAAAAACTGTCCTACTAATGAGTATAGTTAATTAAATATACTTTTCTAATGTCCTTACTTATAAATATTAAAAT